GTATGACTATTTTGTCATCTGGCCTCATGGTAAGAAAAGTTTAGATAATCGAAGGTATGAAGACCAAGATAGTGTGGCCTTTTGTGTGGTTGCAGTCTCCTTTCGTTGTATAAAAGTTGTTTTACCTTTTTATCGCAACTTGGTCATATGGTAGGAAAACTTAGAGGAACTCACCTAGTCCGGAGTCCATTGTATGCATTATCATTTCCATAGTAGGACCGTGGACGTGGTAGATTCCCACGGGAATCTACTTATAAATTGAAGATAAGTAATGTAATCGGTTTCTATAGCAAAGGCAACTTTGATTCGTCGACACTACCTCCACATAAATGTGATATAAGAAAGTACTAGGCTTCTTTAAAATTCATTCCCGCCCTGTGACTCACTTGTGGCTGTGTGGCGTAGGTGTTAGCATGTCGAGATTATACACAGCACTATCATAGTTTGAGTGAGGCTGGAGGTGCTGATGAGACCTAGGCAGAGTTCAAATCGGAGTCCACTCCTGCCTAAATCAGAATACCTTTTAGGAAGCAGGACTATGAGAGGTTCAATAGAAATATGAGGTCGGCTCATATCATTATGGAAAAATTCAACTGCCAGTCCTTCATAATCTCAAACGGACTAAGATCACTACAGGTATTACGCTATTTATAATAAGTTCATGTGTTTGCAGCCTGCCCTCTTTCATACTTTATTTTTAAATGCTCGTTTCACGTGAGGAAGACATGCTTAAAATGACTGCGATCCGGGGATTATTTCTCACAATCCAACAGTCTTCACTTCAGGCAAATCCTAATTCGACTTCCGCTGAGGTCAATTCATGAAATTATCTCAACCAAATTTTCCCACGAAATTAAGAGTCAAATCACACTTTATCTATTTTTCGTTTTAGATGAGGCCAATACATGCCTTAATATTGTGAAATCATTATTTTATTGAAGTTGTTTGACCTTGTTTTCGCAACTCGGTCATATTGTTAGCAAGACTTAGAGGAACGCACCTCGTCGAGTCCATTGCATGCATGATCATTTCCAAAGTCAGACTGTGGACGTGGTACATTTCCAGACGTTTCGTCGGCATCGTAGTCGGCATCGTCAGTAAGTCTCGTCATTATTAGCACCACATCACAACTCGTCAAAGAGACAAGTGAAGCCCATCCTTTGACACACTTTGACACACCGAGCTGCGAAAAAAAGGTCAAACAACTTGTATAGAACGAAAGGAGACTGCGACCACACAAAAG